GGGAGGAGGTCGGGGGCTCCGAGACGCTCGATGTGTACCCTGCCGAGAGTCGGCCCGCCCCGGGCTGCCATGCGGGCGCGCACCCTGGCATCGCGTAGCATCGCGTCATGACGAGCTCCGCTAGCTTTCGCCCTGTCAGGGTGGCCGTTTCGCTCCCCGTTGGAGCGAAAGGGTTTCTACTACACTAGCCCGCATGCAGGCGCGCGGCCGGGATCGAATCTTATCAAAGCGTCTTGGGGCCCCGTGCGAATAGGCAACCAGGCCGCGCTCCTACTGCGTCCGGGCTCGCACACACCCGTCCGTACCGAGGGAGCACAACGGCCACCCTGCCTCACACCTCGCTCGCCCCAAAGCTCGGCCAGGCGTTGCACCAGGTTGCACCGCCGCCCGCCCCCACCTGCTCCACTTGCCGCCCGTGCGCGAGTCACCCGAATGGAAAGCGAAGGTGGCGGCCGTGGCGGGCCTCAGTCTTATCTTATCTGCGGGGCCCCGTGACGCCGGCCCAGAGCCGTACGCAGCGCGCAGCGCCACGCCGCGACGAGCGACAAGCATGCCGCTGATAAAACGGGACCAAATCATTCACAACGGACCCCGATAGCCCCGGAGAGACGGACGAACGGCAGCCGAATTTCTCGACGTCATCAAAGGGCGGCCCGAAGCAGCGGCGGCGGCTCCTTCAAAGAAGCAGCCGAGTCGGGGCGCCTCCTCGTTAATTGTCCTAGTTCACGCTCTAATTGTCCAAGGTCGTTAGAAAAGAAATCGGCGGGGCCGCGTCGCCGCCGAGCAGATCGCTCACTTTTTACGGGCGGCGCCGGGACACCGCTTCTCGTGACAAAGCCTACCCCTTTTCGCCTGTTTTACTTGCGGCCCCTCCCCCCCCCCCCTACCTTTCCCCTCTCACCTCCAGGTGACATTAGCTCGCCTGTCTTGTTTCGCCGCGGGGCCCCACAGGGAAGGGGGAGGAGGAGGAGGTCATCTTTAGCACTAATTATCGCAGTAAGTAGGCCGTGCGTAGGCAGGCCAGGCCTGCAATAACACAGCGGTCTGGAGGGGGCAAGAAGGCCGGGGGGCGGGGGGGGCGTAGGCAGGCAGGGCTGATGCAATGACACCTCCTGGCCGGGTACCAGCACCGCACCCGGCCGCCGTACACTGCCAGGCGAAATCAGATTTTCCATTTATAAACTTCAATTGCAATTATACATCCACCTCGTGCCTTTCCCCCCTTGGGCCTTCCCTCGCTCTCTTTTTCTCTCTCCATCTCTGTGGTGGTCATCGTTCTGCAGGCCAGCGAAATGGAGCGGGGCGGGGAGGGGCGGCAATGGGAGGAGGAACTTTGCAGAGCTCCGTCCGCTGCCGCTGACCTTTTGCAGCAGCGGCCGCCCAGGGCCAATAAATTCCAGGGATCGTGGGAACAGCGGAGTGCGTCCCCGCCAGTCCCCGGGGGTCCCTGCAGGGGCGGGCAGGGGCGGGCAGGGGCGGCGACCGGTCGCCCAGCCCACCCAGCGACGTCGCACAGCCCGACTCTCGTTTGCCTTATTTTTATTCTCGAAATGCATGACATTCCAGGCGCACTGAGCCGGCCGCCGCCGCGCCGAGCCGCTCCGGTGTGGGCAGGATAAGGATCGGGATGGGCATCAGGAGGAGCCGTGCCAGCAGCGCGGCGAGGGGTCGTCCGGGACGCGGGGTACACAAAGTGTGCACGCCGCAGACGTCCGCGGGGCCGTCCAGCCCAGCGCTCCACGTTATGGTGCGTCGTATCGATCCGCGAGTACCGGCCGGGCACCCGGCCCAGTGGCCACAGGTGCCCTATGGGTGCAGAGACACTCGCGTCCCCAGAGAAAAAAGTACCCACTTCTGGAAAAGCAGGTCGTCGTCAAGGAAAAGGGGGGAAAGAAGTGATTGTGGGCAGCGCGCCGCCGAGCGGGCCAGCCCAGCCCAGCCCACCACCCGGCCCAGCCCAGCGCACAAGATGGCATCCATGGCTCCGGCCGGCAAGCCAGGGGTGGCAGCCAGCCAAGCCGCCAGGCGAGCTGGCAGCCAGCCCAGCCCAGCCAGCTCGCGGGCCGACCAACCTCCAAACACTACATCGCGCGCCCCACCCAAAATGCTCGACAAGGAATTTTAAGACGAATTCGCAATCAAACGCACACACTCGGCGAGATCTTTTGCACAGACTAGGTTTTAACCGATGCGGGGAGTGTAAAACGGGTGAAAATATGAAATAAACCAACGAGCCTGGAAGGACGCTGGTAAAGACGCTTTCCTCAGCGAAAAGTTATGAAGGCCACACGGGTGAAACTAGAAGAGATTGATTAAGTTTAGACTTAAAACCATGCTACTCACCTTCCAAATTTAAAAGTATCCAGTACACAGCGACGTGAGGGAAAAGAAATCCAATATTGGGGTTTGTTTCACAACCGGCACTGGTTTAAGCACAACACACAGACACTTCACACAAAATCGCTGGTGCACAAAATGTAGGTAGTTAAAATCCTGGGTAACTACTACTTCTTGCACAGTCACGACGTTAAGCACTTCACTTTTGCACGAATATTCCTCACGGGCTGTTAATCCACCAGCGACGCACAGAGGAAAGGGCCTTAAAGGCGGCTTAAGCACAACCTTGGCTCACTGATCACACGTTTTCCGTACGAAATTCGTTATCCAAGGATGATCACTAGCACACAATTACTTCTCTTTCACAGAGAGCACGATGTTCAAGTCCGCGGTAAACATTCCTAACCTCAAAATCACACAACATCCACCCGTCACAACGTCCAAAACTACAAAACACCGCCTCAGGGTGGCGGCAAGAGTCAAACGCGGCCAGAGGGTCGTAATCCGAGATGTTGGGCGGAATCGCGGCGGCCCAGGTGGGCGTGGGCGGCGTTAAAAGTTAAATTTGACACACGTCTGGCAGTTCGTTCGCGACAAAATCCTATAAACAGACCGGCGTGGCCCTCCATCCGCGGCGGACCACAGCCAAGCACTGCGGCGGGTCCTGACTTGCGCCCGGTCCCCACCCCGCCGGCCCGCCTGGACAAACCCCCGGCGCGGCCGGCCCGAACGCGAGCCGAACGCGAGCCGAGCGCAGCCGAACGCGGGTCGGAGGGGAGCGCGGCCCCGTCCGTGTGAGCGCTGCGCGTGTGTGCGTGCGGGAGCGCCGCCCGCGCTCGCTGGTGTGAGTGAGGGGGAGGGGAGCGCGGGCAGCAGCCCCGCGGGCGCTGCCAACCTACCGGCAACGACAGCAGCACGAACGTGGTCACTATGTGGCCATCGGCCGCCCGGCGGTACCGGTTTGATTCGTGAAGGGCGTGCACGCACCAGCACCCCTTGGGCGACGTGCCACTTCCCTACATTCGGCCCACTTTACGTATGAAACTTAAACCGCGCTCATCCCAGACTGACACTTGCTTTGAATTTGGCGCCGTTGCTGGCAGCTGGTACGCCTGCCGCGGAGCGGTGCCGCCGCTCGCCGAGGCGCGGCGCCTCTGGCCCACAGCTCTGGCGGGGTATGGCGGGGCAGCCTTGGTGTGAGCAGGGGCGGGCCGAGCGGGGAGCGCGGGGGGGACGCGGTGTAGCGGCGGTAGCGAGACAAAGAGAGAATCGCCGGTAATGTCATGGCGTGGGAATATCAGGCCGGTCCGGTCTTGTCTTGTCGGGACAGTTTCTCATTGACTTGGCGCGGGGCGAATAAATATCAACGACCCGGCGCCAACAGCAACAGCCGTGATGCATGTAGGCTACTGTAGTATCGTAGGAAGGAAACTGCCAGCCTGAGCCAGCTGCTTATTCAACGCGTGCAGCTGTTCGCCAGGAATTGTGAGGAGTTCCCTGCATCACCTCGAGCCAGCCGTCGTAGCGACTGCACTGCGGCCTGTCTTTGGACATGAGAGAAGGGCCCTTCTCTCATGCTTTGGACAGCTCTCATCTATGCAGAACACCAACTACACACCTTACTGAAATAAAAACACGCACAAAATTTCCACGTCAACCGACATGACTCGTTATTTTTCCCACAATAATTTAAAATAATAACCAGTTTCTTCTCTGAGGAATTTAGTAGTTTCCTACAGTACTGCGCATACATCCATCGCGAGACAGAGAGTGCGTAACGCATGTAAACACAACATCTGACTGGACGCACTTCGGGCCGGAGTCGGATGTGTTGCCTACACTCCCGGCTGGGGCGGACGCGAACCTGCCGGCCGCCCAGCCGGCTGGCAGTGACGAATGGGTTGCCTATCCGCCGGGCTGACAGGCCGGCCGGGCGCCAAATGGGTTGCCTACCTCCCGGGCGGCCCGTGCGGTTGCGTGGCGCGCCGCACTTTGGGGATGGAGCTACTGAAACCACACACGCTGTGGCTGCGTCAGGAGTCATTAGTCTTCAGGGATCACCGCAAGTGTGCAAGGAAGAGCGGGGGGCAAGGGGCCGGGGGCGGAGGGGGGGGGAAAGGGAAAGGGGGCGGGGGGGGGGGGGGGGGGGGGGCAGAGAAGGGAGGGAAAGAGAAAGTGGGCTGGCGGGAGAGAGGGGAGAGAAGTGCGAGCAGATCGTTCTGTTGCTTACTGCCTCTCAGGAGGCCGCGCCCGGCGCGCGCACTACTGAAGGGGTGGAAGGAGAGATTGATGTCTTTAAGGGACTCCGGCAAAGTTACAACTAACGACTTCACCTCACGCGTGCCGGGCGGCACGGCGTGAGCAGAGGCCGAGGCGAGGGAGGAGAATCCCACGGCCGGACAGGACAGTGTGGGGCGGGGCGGGACCGCGACAGACAACTAGGAGACACATTTCGTTTCTTTCCGTCTGACACTACAAACAACCTTCACAAAATCAGTCATACAAGGGACGAATGAAGGCAACGCTTTGTAAATGGAAGAAATTATGCCAATTTTACCAAAACGATTCCAGAAAAAAATACAAAAAAAACAAAAAGATACAAAGTGATCGATCGTAGGTCTTGTCGCACAGACATAACGAGAGCGGTATATCTTTGTCTTTCATCATCGAAACGCCGGCTCCCAAACAAATCACTTCAATATGTCCGCCCGCCCCCACTCACCCCCGCGGGCCCCACAGCCCCGTCGGGCTGTTTCCCCACCCCTCTCCCGTCTCGCTCCCGAAATGGAGCGTCGCACCGCCAGGCTATATTGCTGATATCCATTTAATTACAAACGAATTTCCCAAAAGCTCAATAGCCGCCCGAAGGCAGAGGGGAGGGAGGCCGGTGTGATAGCTAGCGCAGTGCGACGGGCCCCCTTGGGGGTGTGGAGTGGGAGGAAAAGGGGGTACCTGGATTTGCGATTACGCGTGATTATTATTGGTTTTGGTGGTTTAAAAACGAAGTCACTCGTAGGTAAGTTTTATCGGTATACGGTATGTAAAACAGCAATATAGACACCAATCATTGAAAGATGCAACAGGTATTTACTAACCTCAAAGGTCACGGTTGATGAAGTCTTCTAATAGCTCAAAAACTCTCTTTGGTATCGTTGTTAAAAACTACATATCGTTAAACTTTAAAATTAAAAGGAAATTCCATGTCACAAAAATTAGAAACTAAAACACAACATGTTATAATAAGACAACGAATACCGGCGTGGCCAGACCGCCCTGTGGGCAGCGCAGCCGACAGACTGTCGCAAACCTGTGGACATTGTATGAAAAGCTCGTGGGTCTGCCCACCTTTTCATCACAACGAAAGACTTTCCACCTTTTACAGGTGATCCGTAAAATTACATACTATGGCAGTGCAACTATGAATGCACTTTCGACTTTAACTTTTAATAAACCCAGACTTAAACAAGAAAATTCTCGACAAACAATATTTACAGTGGGGGTGAGGTTTCATTCATCTCCCCTCGAACAAACTTCCCCGATGAGTCACTAGGTGGCGCGGTCAGGCGGGGCTGCGTCGCCGCGCGTGGGGTATCGACGACAGGCCGCCTGGAGTATCCAAACGAGGTGGAGGAGGAGGGAGGAGGAGGGAGGAGGAGGGAAGAGGAGGGATGCATAAGAAAGTGTGAACGAATTGGATGAACACGTCGGTAAACGTAGTATAATTAATTATGGAGCACAGCATTCGGCACTTGTTAAGCACGACTAGTATAGCGGTATCACAACGAAATCAGACATTGTCACCGGACATAGTTGTAGTCCTGTCCTGACCATTTTTGGACCAGCAGCTCTGATTCTCATGAAAATTTACAAATTACATCGACTACTTGAAATTGGTCCCGAGACTAACTAACTTATTATTTAGAGAACAAAAACTTCAAGATTCCGTTGACGTCGGTTGGGCGTTAACTGGGCGAGCTGGCGGAAAACAATGAAATGCATCACACGATTACATAGTTACACTACACTATTTTCTACAGAAATTTAAAACGTGTTCATGAAAATGACACGACACTCACTCTGGCAGACGCCCGGCCGCACTCTGACGTCGTCCACCGCAAAGCCGCCGTTGTTGGCGACCCCCTCCAGGACGATCGAGAAGGCCGTGTTGGCAGACACCGTGGCCTGCGCGGACATCCACGTCGGCCGGGCGGTGTCGAGCCCCCGGGCGTTCAGCTGCCACACCTGCAACGCGCCGGAGGAGGGGTCAAGACTCCCGTGGGCGCCTGAAGGTGTCCGACACAGGCGCATCTCACTCACCGTCATCTCGGGCAGCTTCCGGTCCTGGTCCACGCGCAGCACCCGCAGCATGGTGGAGTCACCCTGGCCGAACGCGGCGAACCAGAAGCTGAGGCACACGGGCTCGCCCGCGTCCAGGTGCGGCGACTCGAGGCGCGCGCGCCGCAGCACCTTGGACAGGGAGAACATGTCGAAGAACACGTAGCCGCCGGGCGCGCGGAACGTATTGTCGCTGAGGCGGGCGGGCCGGTGCTGGCCGCTGGCGTGCTGCCAGCCAGGGCTGCGGCCGGTGCTGCCGCTGCCGTTGGTCCAGGTGCACGAGTCCGAGCTGAACGAGCAGTCCGCCGGCGAGGACAGCGCGCTGGACGGCACGCCTGTGGGGCAGAGAGTCGTCATGAGACGCGGGGCTGTGCGTCCGGGGTCAACCCACCATGCAACCCGCCCTCACCAGGACACTTGGCGTGGTACAGGACGATGTCGTCCACGGCCAGGATGCCAGAGTGCTTTCCAGGGCCCCACTCGCCCTCCAGCTCCACGGTGAAGGTAAAGTTGGCCGGTAGGGGCACCCGCGCCGGCCGCCAGGCGGGGCCCTGCGTGTTGTACAGGGCCCAGACCGTGGCCGACTGCAGCGCGGCGCGCGGCGCCTCCTCGGTGCGCACTTCGCGGTCGTCGCGCGCCTCCCGCAACACGACGCGCAGCGCGCCCAGCCCCGTGGACATGGCGCCCGCGGCGGACGGCTCGTGCACCAGGTACCAGAAGGCGAGGCACAGCGGCTCCGAGCGCGACGTGATGGGCAGCGACACGAGGGTCGTGGTGGCGGCCGGCGACGACCCGGCCAGCGACGCGGGCATCTGCAGCCCAAGGAAGAAATCTGCGGGCGAAACAGTCGTTAGATTGGCTGGTCCGGGCGTCCGGCGGCCCAAGGTACCACAGGAGGTCCACTACTTGCCGTTGCGCAGACCCGCGCCGCTCTGCGCGCCGTCTCCTGGCCCGTGCGGCTTGCGCTGCATGGAGGGTGGCAGCGTGGCCACCGGCAGCCGGCTCCACCGCGAGGGCTGCGCCATGGGCCGCCAGCCGCACTCGTCCACCTCCATGGAGCAGTCGGGCGGCATGCGCGGCGAGCGGCGCACCGGCTGCAGCTGCGCGCCCGCCCGCCCCGGGGCCCCGGGGGCCTTGGCGCCGGCCACCTGCGGGGACACGGGGCACGGCCCCGGGTCCAGGCTGATGTTGTCCACCGCGATGTCACTCATGCCCACTGCGCCCACCGCTGCCTCCACCACGACGCGGAAGGGCTGCGGCTCGGCGAGCGTGACGGCGCCGCGGAACCAGGCGTTGCCCGCGTCGCCCACGAGGCTCCAGACGACGCGCTCCCCGGCGGCGGAGGAGACGAGCCAGCGCAGTGAGCCCACGTCCACGCCGTACATGTGGAACCAGAAGCGCAGGCAGTTCGGGAAGAGCGGGTCTGCAACAGGTCGGAGGGCATTAAGGACGGGGACTAGAGGAGACTGGAGGAGGTGGACGAAGGGGATGAAGCCCGCTATCGCTCACCACTTGCGGGTAGCTGCTCGCTCTCTAGCCTGGCGACGTCACCGGGGCGCCGTGGGTACGACGAGTCGATGTACACGTAGCCGCCAGGGTGCGGTCGGTGGTCGACGACGGCTGGCTCCGTGATGAGACCGCCCTCCACTTCGACGACAGCCTGCTCGAGGTCTGCTAGGACGCTCTCCTCCTCCGCGTCGTCGAGCCCGCGGCCCTCCTGGTTGAGCTGCTGCTTGGGCACAACACCGTGTTGCGGCTCAACCCAGCTGTCCGCGGGTGCGGCGGGGCCCGTGACCGTGGACGCGCTGCCGCGGCCCGGCGTCCAGTCGAAGTCGTCCCCCTGCGCGACGTTGGTCCAGCGGCACAGGCCGGCCGCGAAGCTGCACGCCAGCGGCAGCGGGCACGCCTCGCCGGGCACCAGGGCCACCGCGTCCACCGCCACGTGCCCGCGGTAGGCGCGCGTGGGGTCGCCAGCAGCGGTAGACGACGCCTCCAGGACCAGCTGGAAAAAGAGACGCATCTAGTTACGGTTACGCTGTTAAGTAATAAAGCCGAAGAATTGCCTGGATGTATCAGACACTCACGCGGTGCGGTTGCGGCTCGGAGTACAGCAGCTGGGCGTGCAGCCAGCCGTCGCCGGGGACGTGCGGCGGCGTGGTGTACCAGAGCTCGCGCAGCACGGTGCGGGTCGTCTCGTTGCGCGCCAG